CTCTCTAAAATTTTCAAAAAAAAAGTAGATATTCAGACTCATCCCTCCAAAAGATTGGCAATGTTTACACCTTTCTAATTTGGATTTACTCAATAGAATGCAACCACATGTTTGTTTTGTTTATCAATACAGTCTATGATATGGGAAAGAAACTGGTACTCCTATTTAGGAGATACCTAAGTTTTGTTGATGCCCGAAACAAGTTCTCTATAATAAGGTGATATCTTACAATCGAGATATATTAATTAGTTGCAATTATTATATAATTTTTATCCTTATGCCTTGCATGGGCTATAATAGTGGTCATGGCTACCTTTCAATTTTTTCACTTTTTTCATTTTGGTTCATTTATGTTAGACTATTTTAGAATTTGTTGAAAAGTATTTTTTTTCTACTGTGAGGTGTTTTTTTTCTAAAATGTTTATGTCTCTCATAAACATAGTATTATTTTTTTCACTTTTATATATGAATAAGGGTTTTAATTTTGTTGTCAGGCTTAGATAGAAGAAGTTTGAAAGAAGAGAGAGGTGATCATGATGGGTGATAGGTACTATCTGTTAAGAGCTAGGTTATATCCAATTGCAGGAGAGGTTCAGAAGGAGGAGAATCCTACTATAGCAGGTCGAATATAAATACTCATTGGCAACTGAGTTAGTCTTTACTTGTAATTTAGATATAGTTGTGTGGCCCTCAGGCACGTCACATGTTATTTAGAGATAGTTCTCATATGCTATCTGCTGACATGTTCAGAATTTATTACTTACTGATAAGTTTCTCTAAAATTTTAATAGTTTAGATAATTATTACAAAGCCTAATAAAATAAAGGCATGATTGCCAAATTGATTAAAAAAAAAAAAAAAACTTTTTAGAAAATAACAAATGCCTATTATCACTCAAGCTTTATTTGTTATTACTCTATAGAAATAACAAATAAGAAAAAAAAAGAAAAAAAAATTTATAATAAAAATTATGATTAATAATGCATAAATCTCTGTTGTATGATTATAATAAAACATGGAATAAATATTAATTAAACCTAAATTACTTAAATTTGTCTTGCTTTACTGGCAATCAGTTTACTTATATATAATTCATTTAGCTAACATTATACAAATTGACAATTTATTAAAAATATCTTATACTACTAGCTAAATAAACTTTTAAATGATATGACTGTTGATAAAATAAGCAACAGTTAACAAAATCATTTATAAATTAGGTTATAATTTATCTAACTACTCAAAAAAAAAAAAAAACATTGCTAAACTTCTAAAACAGCATAGCAAATATTAATATTTAACAGATAAGAAATTAGACACTTATTATTTTTGGAAAAGCTTATTAAAAGATTAAGACTTTTCTTTTAAGAAAAAAAAAGTAGCAAAATAAGATCAGGCTGTTGAATATTAATTTTATTTATTTTATGACCTTTTCTTGATTCTAAAAAAATAAAAACTGCTGTATTATATATTATACAAAATTAGCAGTTTTGAGTATTAAAAAAGATCCAAATAGAGTTTTAAGATTTTTGTGAAGCTTTGAAATTTTGAGTAGGGTTTTGAGTTTTAGAAGAGGTTTCAGATTTCAGAAGAGATTTCAGAATTTATAATCCAAAACCTGAAACTTTAGATTTGGCAAAAAAATTTTGGGTCTTATCTCTAGTTTGTTCTAACTAGAGTTTTTATCATATCAAATCAAACTTTTGACAAGTTTGAGTTTGATTTGTTTTTCAAATCAAACTCAATTTTAAACTTTTTTTAAAATTAAGTTTGGTTTGAGTTTGAGTTTAAACTTTTTAGTTAAGTTTGATTTGATTTGAATTTGATTTCAAAGTTTGTTAAACTATTTGAATTTGAATTATATATATATAAATTTATATATTGAATTAAATTTATATAGAGTAAAATTTTAAAAATCATAGTATTTATTATAATTTTACTAGTAAAATTATAAAAAAAGCAGTATAAATCAAAAGTTATACTAATTAATAATATCTTTATATTCTAAGCAAATTTTGTTTAGTATATAAAAATATATTATTTTGACATGGCTAATTTTATTTTTCTTAAAATTTTTAGTTTTGATAAAAAATTCAAATTAAACATTTTTTCTTAAATTTTAAAATTATAAAGTAACTGTATTCTAATATTATATAATTTTATACATAGAATAAGTTTATTTAGAGTATAAATATAGGTTTAATTAGTATAGTTTTGTGGATTGTAATATTTTTTATAATTTTATTAATAAAATTATAAAAATAACGTGATTCTCTATTTAAACCTATCTTTATGCTCTAAGTAAATTTGTTTTACATATAAAAATACATAATATCAATATATAATTTTAAATTTTAAGAGAAAAATGCTTAATTTTGTGATTTTGATCAAAAATTATAAAATTAGAAATCTTTCTCTTAAACTTTAAAATTATAAAGTAATTATATACCAATATAATGTATTTTATGTGTAGAACAAGTTTATTTAGACATAAAAGTAAATTAATTAGTAAAAATTTGAGAATCATATTATTTTTTATAATTTTATTAATAAAATTATAAAAAATATTAAACCCACAAAATTATACTAATTAAATTTATTTTTATGCTTTAAGTAAACTTGTTCTATGAATAAAATTACATCATATCAGTATACATTTACTTTATAATTTTAAAGTTTAAGAGAAAGATGCTTAAGTTTAGAATTTTTAATAAAAAATTCAAAATTAAGCATCTTTCTTTTAAACTTTAAAATTATAAAGTAAATATATATTAATATAATATAGTTTTATATATAGAACAAGTTTATTTAAAGCATAAAGGTAGGTTTAATTGGTACAATTTTTGGATTTTAATATTTTTTATAATTTTATTAATAAAATTATAAAAAATATTGTTATTTTTAAAAGTTTTCTTAGTAAATCACTTTTTAGCTTCTAAGTAAAATTATAAAATAGTAGCTTGTAATCAAAATAGTAGTTAAAATATTAAAATCAGCCTGGTAGATCATGAGATATCAGTATTTTAGTTTTTACAACTATAAGCTTTCTTTATTTATATAAAGAAGAAAATATATAATTGCAAAGACAAAAATCTTTATATCTTGCAATCTACTAGGCCGATTTTAATGGTTTAATCATCATTTTAATTGCAAAACACTTCTCTACAACATTTATTAGAAGTTGAAAAAAGCTTTACTTAGTAAAGAAAAAAGGTTTTGTTAAAAACTCCAAATTTGAAATCAAACTCAAACAGTTTACAAACTTTGAAATCAAATCAAACCAAACTTATAATTAAGATTTGAGTTTGATTTGAGTTTGAAATTATAAAAATTTAGAGTTTGAGTTTGGTTTGATTTGAAGTTTGATTAAACTCAAACTAAACCAAACTCAAACCTCAGAACCCTAGTTCTAACTCTAAATATTAAATAATACTATAGCATATTATTAAAAACTAGGTAAATATATAGATAGATATGTATTGCTCTAGCAGGCCTATCTTGAAAATAGTTTAAAATATATTCAAAATCTAGAACTTTTTCTAAGAAAATTAGAAGTAGAGAGGTTAGAGGTTTTATTTGATAAAAGTAAAAATTAGAATCAGAGGATTTAAATAGATAATCTTATAGTCAGATTGCAGGTATAGCAGCTAGTATAGAATCTTTGAGCAGCTACTTAAATTAAATACCAAAAGTATACATGTGGCTAGATATATAAAGAAATTTTATATGATTGTAAAGAGAAAAATCAAGATATCTTGAGAATTGCTTAGCCAATTTTATTGATTTTACTACTGTTAGAATCACAAAAACAAGCTCTACAACTTTTATTAAAAGCTGAAGAAAGGTTAACAATAAAAAAAAAAACTTTACTTTGAGGGGATTGCCAAATTTGATTCAAGTGTAAATTTTATATTAAATTTGCCCCAAATTTTATTATAAAAATACTGCCATTCTTTTGTGAATTAGCTCTTAAAGTAGTTTGTCTTGTATAAGGTAAAATATTATCTTACAAAATTTCAAGTATCATAAAATGCTGTATTAAAGACCCGAGTCTAGTACATGGTAGAGAGTTTGTACCATTAAAAGGAAAAATTTAAAAAGTATATTTTTTATTTTACCATAGTGCGCTGACTAAAGTACCCGGCGTGACAAATAATGTAGATAATTTTTTAAAATATTATTTATACGTACGTATATGACATTTGAGTGCTGTCAAAAGAAAACCTGTCATCGGACTTTCAATTATATTTTGTGTACAGTTAACCGTCTACGGAAAATCTATCATGGTGATAGATTTTCCATAGACGACAAACTGTACACAAAATATAATTGAAAGTCCGATGACAGGTTTTCTTTTGACAGCATTCATTTGATGTCAACAATTGTGTGATTTTTAATTTTTCACTAAGTGAACAACCTAGATATTAAAAAATTATTTTAATTGTTAAACCTATAGTACAGCAGTATATATTATTAATAAATTTATATTTGACGTACATCAAACGGTAACTATAGGATTACCAGATAAGGAATAGTTTCCCACAATGTGGCCTATATCAAGATCGAAGGATCAGATTCTTTAATCCCTGTTAAAAGATTACTTACTTATAATTAGTCTATTAATCTCAAAATGACTTTCTTTGTTGTTTTATTGTTAACTTTCTTGAATTTTGCTTTAGCTGTGTTAATTGGGATTCTCTTGCTATCACCCAATCGGAATCTACCTACCAGGTACAATTTTTAAAGTACAAATAAAATAGTGTTATCCGACAAACTCATATGATCATGAAAAACTTTCTTTCTGTTATTTTTTTCATGTGTTACGATATAATTATAATTTTCCAATATTCAAAAAAAAAAAACTCAGCGAGTGACTCCCTACCAATCATGATCATAAATTGTCGGATAACACCATTATTGGGCAAATTGCCGTTATTCACAAATTTTTGCCCAATAATGTATACATATTCGATGAAAAATATTATATACCATTACTTTCAATGATCAGATCTCAAGTTATATTCGAAAACACGGACATTTCGGATTCTGAAAGTGAACAAGAAAAATATATAGATGAAGAAGACGCAGGTTAATAAAAAGTGGACATGAGAATTTGTCAAAGATTTTTTGCATAGCAATCATTACTTTATAAATAATCATGTAAGAAGACTAACTAAATAAATATTATTTTAGCAATCTTGCCAACGCTTTCATCAGTTCTAAGAAAGATTTTTTCTAATGCATCAGAAAATGAGATTGCATCCTATCATTTACAACTTGCGGACAGGACATAGGAGAACGTGAACCTACTCTTATAATCATACCAAACAAGGCATGGATTGATCAGTACAGCTGGACCGCCTACAATGCAGTAATGGACACATTTGCTACCTATGATCTTCCACCGAATCAACGCAGAGATAAAAACTCTCGTTGTATGTTTCACTTTAAGGAAACCTCCGAGTTTTTTCGTGTTCGAAATGAAATCAGGGACAAAAATTTGGCATCAAATGCTTTTTGCATACCATTTAGTCTTCGTGAATTATTTCAAAATGAGCCAAACGTTCAACTTGAACCGATAGGTAATGCATGGATTTTAATGAAAGTTGGATCCAAATATTGTGACCATGGATGTGATAGAAACTTTTTTAAAGTTACATAATTAGAGGTTGATGTCTCTGCATATATTGTGGTTTGATGAATATTTCATATATCATTTATTCATGGTATTTTAATAATATGAAATAAAAAAAATTTCGCGTTAATTTTGACATTAAGTTTGATATTTTAAATTAACAGTTCTATATTAATTTAGAACATGATCTCTTAATTTCCCCACTATCTATAATTTAATTTACATTTAGCATACATGAAACAGCATACATTTTCTATTTATATCTTAATTCGAATAGAAAAGGTGCATTTGAAATAAATAAGCTATTTTAAAGAAATCAATTTTTTTAAATAATGCCCATCTTTATTATTTCATGAATATACTTTATATTACACTCTGTTCGGAATTTCTCTACAGTAGTGCTCATAATTAATGCCGAAGACGTAGTATGAACTCAGAATTCTATTCATATATTTTGTAGCACGTAAAGATGGAACGAATTAGAAAATTTAACGTAGATTATTTTAAATCAATATGCAAATAAAAAAAAATGTGTTCTTGGAACTAAGATGAATTTCAGAGATCAAAAATAATGAATGTTTTTGATCGGATTTGAAAGTTGTCCACTCACGTGCAATTTTAAAGTTATGTGCCAATAATATGTACGTATGTCTATCCGAAATTTACTTTCTTTAGAGTAAGACATACTGTAAGTGCAAAAAATAATTTATTGGAATTTATTGTTCGCATTGATTACATTGGTTCATTTGTACTTTGTAAGCTAAAACTGTTATAATAGTTTGCACCATGGTAAGCAACAAGATAACTATAGCAGAAATATTAATAAGTCTTAATAACACATTTTCACCAGAAAGTATGTATAACTGCAAAAGAGAGTTTTTCTGCAATTTCTTTACAGCAGACACGAGATTTTCGACATTTTCCTTACCCTCAAGAGTTGAATTATAGTGACTTACTTCAGAAATCTTGCAAAGAATTTCATAGAATTGAGTGTAAGTTACTGGGCCACTATAAACCATGCCAAGCTGATACGCAAGATGGAAATCTTTTTCGTTTTTGAGTACTCCCGAATAAAAGCAAATTATAGTACTGACTATTGGTTCACACTTTGATCTCATCTCAAGCATTACAAGATTCCATAAAGTTTCGATCCAATGTGGATGTATATAAAGTTTTGTGATCGTCAATTTACCTTTTTCAAACCTGAATACGAGCTCGGGGCATTCTAAAGGAACGATTTCGATAGTATTTCTATGTAGTTCTGTCAAACTTGGTAAAATTGCTGGATCAAATCGATCGGATGCATGCTGCTTAGTCATATCATCACCTCCTATATTTCGATAAAGCAGTTGAGCGAATGACATATTTTTATCTAACTTTGTTTCTTTGAATGTTACGTTATTAGCACCGAAAGGAGTCAAGTGACTTGCTATGGAAGTAATCATGATATTGAATGTATCGGCTACCTTACTGTTATGTATTCTTTTATTATATTCCTCTATAAAATTGTCATGATTTTGGATAAGCGCCATATGATTGATTATATGGGACAATCTAATTTGGTTGCCAGCCCTAGAAAATATCCCAGCATTTAATACTGATGTATTAATACCAGCTAATTTATATGGTCTCAAGTCAATCATTCCATAGTTAACACAATTAATAATTTCAGTAGAGAATGCAGCATATAACTTTGCTAGTTTGTCTATATCTGACGTTAAATAAGAGATTATATGATTTTCAGATATATCTTCTTCATTGTTCGTATTTATGTTGTCAAATGTGTTAATAATATGTCCTTCAAATATTGCTGATGTCTTATTTATAATCCCACCAAGTGCTTTATCTGTATCAAGTTCTTTTTGACCTAATTGTTTAAATTCCTCGACTAAATGCTTACAAGTCAACTCTCGTATATCAATTCCATCATATTTGTTTTTCTCAAAAATTGAAAAATCATTTTTACCAAAAAATGGAAATTGATCAAAACTAAAGTCACCAAAAACCTTTTCTTCAACAGTTTCTTCAAATAAGTCATGTTGCATTTTGCCGAAGGTTTATCCTGTTGATTTGTTTTTTAAGGTAGTAAATATATTTATAGTTAAATCCTGTCGCATAGCCTTACTATAAACGTTCAAGTTCGTATGCGAAATGTAGTCCATAAGACACATTAAGGCTTTTTTATACAAATATAAATAATACGATCTGTTCATCGTAAGTAAACTTATTAAATGTCATAGTTATGTATGCTTCGATGTTATCTATGCATAAACTAATTTACTAATTTCTAACGCTAGTATTAATGATATTTAAAGAAAGAACTACTTTCATTATTGAGAATTATTTCCATATGCATTCCGTCATTTGAGGACGACTTTAACGCCCTTTGGATATGTAGACTCATCTGTTAATGGCTTAGTCGACAAGCCTCCATCTCATTTTTCAGTGTGTCACCACAATAAATACTATAAAAAACATTATCATATGTGTAGAAATAACGTGTAATAATGGTGGTAGATTTAATATAAAATATCGATATACTATTCTTAATAGACTTATAACAAAATTATATCTTTTAAAGAGAATTTATATTTTGTTTGCCTGGTAACAATAGCAGGCTATGTCTTTTCACTTAATAATGCTTTTTATTAATTTCTGCATAAGTAGTAGTGTTTAGGCTATACACTCTGCCCTCGTAATAACGGACCCCGATATAGCGGATACCTTATTATAACGGAGTAAGTTTCTAAAACAAATTTAAATTATTATTATTATATTATATAACATTATAAAGGATATTCATTTATTATGGATATAATGGGCAAAATCTTTCAGCCCGAAGGGTCCGTTATAACGAGAGTAGAGTGTATAATGGACAAAATCTTTCAGCCCGAAGGGTCCGTTATAACGAGGGTAGAGTGTATATGATATAGAAAGCATTTTAGCATAACATTTGTCATGTGGCAAGGCATAAAGTCAAAATTAACGTCGTAGTTAATGGCCAATGTGTCAAAAATCTATTAAATAGGGTTCATGTTTATTTGGTCTATAGTACCCTCTTTACGTGTGCTAGATTTATGGCACAGTCAGCCACAGCCGCAAATAATAACACTACACTAATTCGCGATTAACGATAGTGGAATTGCCCAAGTCTTGTGATCTGATGCATGTTCATATTAAATCTAATATGAAAGATAATTTTAATTTAATTAAATCTGACGACGTAACTGATATAATACCAAGCTTTGAACTGTTTTACATACAAATGAGTTATACTTACATGCTCTTGTTTAGAAGGATCGTGAACCCAATAAAGTATATACGTACTACAGTAAAACCTCTATAAGTGCAAGTGCACACCCTCTCTAAATGCACGCTCAAGTTCTGGCCCAAATATATACATGCCTCCTATAAATACACTTTCTTATTGATCTCTAAGTGCACGTTGTTAAAACTTAGTCCCAAGTGCTGTATTTGGGATCTACAAGCCCATACTTAACGGGCATGGGCATTAAAATTTATGAACATGGGCATAGCATAGAAATCTGGCATGAGCACGAACAAAAAATTTTTGCATGGATATTATAAGCACAAGTACAAAAATTTGATATGAGTACTAGCTAAAGACTTGTCGCAGCTGATGTAATATAAATAATTGAATTAACAAATATAACTGATAAAGTCGTCTAAAGCAAGGTAAATCACGTGATATTAACAGATTAAATCATTAACCTGGCAGTTATATCAATCATAGCCTAACTCTAATATGAGTGGTCCTAAATTCATTCGATTATAGGTGTCTACTTCGTTTTAGATATCCCAAAATATAACATTAATGTATAACCTTTAGAGCAATCTTTGTTAATCTAGTACATATATTTCTTTTATTAATTTCCCCAAATCATTTAATTATGTCTAGCATACTTATATCTCCTACTTGCATCGGATAGAACAAAGTTTTTACGAATTAATTTCTGAAATCTTGAAGCCAAGTAAGCTATTTTAAAGATATTAAATTTAAACAATGCCCGTGCTCATTATTTCACGAATACAGTAGATTACACTGTTCAGAATTTCTTTACTAATTAATACGTATATATCATTGTGTTGACTGGAAGCTGGAACCTCACTGGACGTCCAGATAGGGTATTCAATCGACTAATTAATCAAACATAGTTAGGGTCATATATGATGATCATTTAAGTTGATTTTTTATAGGCATTTAACTAGATCTATTGCAAGTGTATTACATAATCGATAATTCGAATTTAGTGAATAATAAATTTAAAACCGACATGTATTCTTGTTATAATATACATTTATTATTAAACCATTAAATTAAACCATTTAGCTGATTTATATATTTTGAAGCTAATAATAAATTAAATCATATGCTATTTTTTTTTAATTTGAAGCTTTAATATTGCTTTATACTGAAATAGAGCATTCTTTAAAAGTTTTAATTAAAATTTAACAAATATATATCAAAATTTTCAATAAATTTAGTTATTAATATCTTAATAATTTATTAAAAATTTTTTAAAAATGCCTTTATTTAAATATAATACAAGCTTAAAATTTTATATTAAAAACATACTAATAGCTCTCTTCTCAACCTAGTAGAAGAGCTTAAAAAAAGAAAAATAAGACTTGGCTAAGTTGCTATCTCAAAAAGCAAAAACAAAACAAGCAAACAAGCAATAGCTAACTTTTAAAGATTAATAAAAAAACTGACTATTCTTTACAAGAGCTAAGTTTGGTGAAATTTGAATAGCTCTTTTGGCAGCCCCCTGCAAATCCTCTATAAAATTTTCACTAATAGCATAGCAGCAATCTATGCAATACAAACAAGTTAAAGTAAAAAGAAGATATATAATATAATTAAAAGGAAAAACCTCTGCTTGCTAGAATAAATACAAAGAATAATCAAAATAAAAGAGCTACAAATTTGTCTTAAAAAGGTAATGTTGTATAGTGGAATAAAAGAAAATAAAAAAGCTAACAAACTCGAAAAAAAAGAGGCTGGCAGCTCAGAACTGATTATTTCAAGGTGGTTATGAAACAAATATACAATATTGAAACTATAATAGAAAAATCTCAAAGTCAACAATATAACAAGAAGTTTTATCACACAGCTTACAAAAGTTAGAAACAAGTAAGTAAAAACTAAGCAAGAAACAGATTTAATTATGTGAAAAGAGATTTAAAAAAATTTAAAGTAAGCAAAAGGCAAAAATTGCAGAAGTACAAAGCAAAATAAAGATTAGATATTCAAAATCAAGTATTTACTTTTAATCATACAAGTTTTAAATCAGAAAAGAGCAGATATATACTCTAATAATCTATACAAGATATGACTATTTGGCAGAGTACTCCAAGTATTAGCAACTTCAAAATATTATAGAAAAAGAAGGAAGTGAACTATTTAAAGAAAAGCTAAAAAAGCAAAAAAAGAGCTTATAATAATAAATATACAAAAGATAAAAGAAACCATCTTTAGCAAGGACCTGCAAAAAAGACTTGTGACAAAAAAGAAGCTAATAAGTGGTCTAATTGCAAAACAAAGACTAGAAAATATTAGTATAATTTTCTATGAAGCAAAAAGAGTAAGCAAGTTTATCTAGTTATACAATACGATTACTTTAGTAAAATTTTGAAATATTAGTGATTTTTAATATTTTTTGTAATAAAAAATACAAAGTGCATGGACACTGACTAGTCTTGTTTTTTTTTATACTATTTATAATAGAAGAATAATAAATAAATAATTTTGTTTTATTTACAAAACAATACTCTAATATTTAGTTAATAACTATATAATGAAAGTATATAGCTAATATCTTAGAAAATAACAATTATTATAATCAAGAATTGCTTTTAGAAAATTCTGAAATTAATAGCACTAGTAAATCCAAGAGCTCCAATTTTTAGAAAGCTCTGATTCTAGATATTTTGATTTAGAAAGTTTTATATTAACTTATTTTGATTTAACTAGTTTAGATTTGGAAAACTCTTATTTAGAAGATTTTAAATTTCAAATTGAAAATAGTTTTGAAACAATTATTTTAAACTCAGATAACTTTTCAGAAAATTTAATACAAAATATTATTACTATAAGTAATACAAAATTAATTGAATTTCTATGTCTTACTGCTTAATAAAAAATAGCAAGCTTATTCTATTAAATTACATAAATTAGTAAGAGAAGAAAGTATTAAATTACAAGAAACAATTTTTATAATTAAAATTATAACTTGTAAGAATATCATTATACAAATTCAATATATGAAAAACATGAATTAATTTATCAAAATGCAATTCAAAATATAAAAAAAACTATGAACTTATTAAAAGCATAATAAAAATAAAAGTATAAAACAAAAAGAAATTGAGTTTATGAACCTGGAGAGTTTGTAAAAATTTGAATTCCTGATAATAATAAATTAAAGATAGATCAAAGGTCATTGCTATACAAAATTCTTCAGAAAAAGCCAAATTAGGATTCTTACCAGGTTGTATGCAAATATAGAATACCTGACAATTGGTTTCCATTAAATAAGTCTAAGCCACTTGACACCTCAGATTATCCAGATCTTGATGTTGTTTTATTAATTATTACAATTTCATTAAAACAAGCAAGGCAAAACAAAATATAACATGCCTAATTCACAATATTAGTGATATGGGCCGATGAAAAAATCCCAGGTTGAGGCCAGCCAGAATCAGCCTGGGCTAACCCAGCTGATCTTTTATGAATGATTTTGAAAAATTCTGAAAGATACAAATTTTTTTCTACCATTTAGACATCTGTTAAAAGTTATTTAAATTTAATTTGATTCCTTTTTTATGATTAATGTTGTCTTATTGTCTACATTTTGAAGATACCTGGCTGATATTTTCCAAGTCAGCCCATATCACTACACAATATTCAAGAATATCCAACTCATAATAATCAAAAATGCTTGACTTAGAATATTTGAGAATATCCATTTCTAAATAAGTAAAAAAATTTTATTTATACAATTTTTTTTTTTTTTACTATTTTATTAATTATATAAATTTTAATAAAAGTAGCTGTGCAAATTATAATTATAATATTGGCTCAAGTCAGAAATCTCTTCCAGATTTCTGTAATTATTAAAAACAAACTGCAGTACCAAATCATGTTCTTGTTGGAAAAACAATTCAGTGTGCTCAAGAAGATATGGATGTGTCTTATACAAGCAATGCAAAAATAGTTAATCTTATTGAATATTAGTAATTGAATATATTTAATCAAATATATATGCATAAATTTAGCACTCAAATATTTCAAATATATTATGTTATAATAAAACTTTTTACTAATTTTAAATTTCACTGATTGAAAAACAACATATGTTATTTTCAAATTGAAAAATGAATTAAATAATTGATGTAAATTAAAAAATGACAAATAACTTATTTGTTTAAATAAAATTTTATATATCAAAAGTAATTTATTTGTTTAAATAAAATTTTACATATCAAAAATAGCTTATTTGTTTAAATAAAATTTTACATATCAAAAATAACTTATTTGTTTAAATAAAATTTTACATATCAAAAATAACTTATTTGTTTAAATAAAATTTTACATATTAAAAATAACTTATTTGTTTAAATAAAATTTTACATATCAAAAATAACTTATTTGTTTAAATAAAATTTTACATATCAAAAATAACTTATTAGTTTAAATAAAATTTTACATATCAAAAATAACTTATTAGTTTAAATAAAATTTTACATATCAAAAATAACTTATTAGTTTAAATAAAATTTTACATATCAAAAATAACTTCACATGTGACAAATCTGTATCATATTACTTAAATAAAAAAAAGTTTTTTTTTTATCTTTATGCTTTTTTTGACTTATTAAATTTCACTGGACCTCACTGGAGCTTTCATCCAGTGGTGAAAAAAATATGACTGGAATAGTCTAGTGACAACTTACCACTGGAACCTAAATATTTTCCAGTTTCATCCAGTTAGTTCCAGTAATCCTTCCAGTTCCAGTGAAATTCACTGGATCAGTCTAGCAACAAGGTATATAATATTAGGCAGATGATGGAAAAAAATACAGAAAATTCCTTTCATCGGAGTTAATGCACTCCCATGTGTTGCGTAGTGACAATGGCTCCGATGAAAGAAGTTGTCCATGAACCTAGCATAACTACCACGATCAGTTATTCATAGTTAATAATGAGTTAATAATGACGATGTCTGTTTATATATTGTAACATAATAACAAGTGTCGTTTTAAAAAATTTTCTTACCAAATATTTCATTACGGGATTTGATTATTCAACCCAATCGAATTCAAAAAATGTTCGTTCTGCTGAATAATAAACAAATTAATGAATTTTGAAACCGATAAAGGAACATGTATCAAATGCTTAACTCGTATAAATAAAGGCAAAAACGGAAATATTAATGAATACGTAATATTCATGAATGCAAGAAAGTGCTATAGAACCCGAAGATGCAGTTTATAAAAAAAATTGTGGATAATATGGAAGAAGAGAGTGGACGAATGGATCTTAATACAATTATAAATCTTAATCGAATTGATAAATTAGAAAACATTGATGAGCTTAATAACGATTGAGGATGTAAGGCTCTGTGAGAAAGGTGACGGATACTCTTATGTTTATCATAAGAAACATTATATTAAGCAAACAAAAAGACAAACCATCAAGAGCTTGAAAAAAAAAGCAAAAAAGGTTTTAGATAATTCTAAACAACGCAATACAGAAGCATTTTGTCAATCTTCTAGAAAATTTGGCGGCCTCATTCATAAGAAAGGTTTGATAAGTTTATTTTTATATTATTGTATGTATTATATTTTAGAAACGTATATATATTAATAACCTTACTTTAGGTTCAACGGAATTTTCGTTATCCATTAATTGAAAACCATATGGGAGAAAATTCGCATATCACCTGATAATGCAAAACTTCTTATAATGATTACTTCAACTGTTCTTGACAGTGACAATAGTAATATTGTAGAAGATGATGAATCAAGTGAAAATAAAGCGAACTGGAAATTATAGATCAATACAAAAAAATTCTTTAAGTATAACCTATATATTTTTTTATCAAATTAAATTATGCAGCATAATAAATAAAAATATCTAAAAATGATATCGATACTATTTTGATATAGGCGCTTAAACTTCTTAAAAGCCTGATATCCTTCCGTAACAAAAAAAGATGGTTGAAAAATATTAAATCAAATTCATGCCAATTCAAAAGATGGACGACATACGTAAAAGAAACTGAACCAAGCAAAATACTTTTTTTGTAAACTTAGAATTCATGAACAATTTTATGATATAGTATGTAAATTAATAATAATTTTACCAAATAAATTTGAATAAAATTTATGATATAGTATATAAAATTAGGTAATAATTATTTACCAAATAAATTTCAAGTAAACACTTTCTTGATGCAATAAAAAATTTTATATAATTAAATAATGATAATTTTTACATGTCGGATTACGAGATCCGATTAAGTAAAATCTCAGATCAGAATTTAAATCAGAATTACTATTCATGTATTTTTATAACATGTAAATAATGGAACGAATAAATTTAAGTAAATCAGTACATAACTATACAAAAGAATATCAAACTAGAGAAAGAAAACAGTGGTAAATTTTTCAAAAAGTAATAGATATTACTGATTGGATTTGAAAGTTGTCCACCAATATGTCAAGAACTAGCTTTAAGACTTTTAAGGAAACTTTCTGAATAAAAATAAATTATTTTAAAGACATGTGCCAATATGCTATGTACCTTAAAATTACCCTTTTTAAATTCGAATATGATCTCAGGATCTTCTATAACGACGATCTTGAATCAAATAGACAAAATGCATGCTGTTTAATCATTACCTCCTATATTTCGATAAAGTAGTTGGGCAAATGATATATTTTTATTTGATAATATATTTTCGATCGTTTCAGTATAACCATTGAAAGGATCAAGTTTCTTGCTATGGAATTAATCAAGAAATCTAATACAATGGCATCATTTATTTACTTATCGATTCTTTTCTTATATTCAGCTACAAAATCAGTATAATTCTGAAAAACCTTCATATGATCTATTATTTGAGACAATCTAACTTGGTTACCGCTCCAGAAAAATTTCCAGTATTTAATACTGAAGTATTGATACCATCTAATTTATCTGTTATATAGTCTCAAATCAATCATTCCATGTTCTTCACAATGAATAAATCAGTAGAAAATGCATTATATAACTTTACTAATTTGGTTATACCCGACGATAAATAAGTGATTATTTGATCTTCAGGATCGTTTTTATTTTATTGTCAAATGTGTTAATAATATGTTCTTCAAAATTTTTATTTATTTATTTATAGTTCTATTAAGCTTTATATCTGTATCTAGTTCTTTTTTTATCTAATTCTTTAAATTCTAATTCTTTAAATTCTTTTGTTAAGTATTTACAAGTCAAATCTCGTATATTAACTCTATCATCCTCAAAAAAAAAAAAGAAAATCGATCAAAACCAAAATAACCAAAAAGCTTAACGGTTATTTCAAACATGTCATTGTCTTCCATTTTACCAAAGATTTATTATGTTGATTTGTTCTTGAGGGGAAAGTAAATATATTTATAGTTAAATTCTCCACACAGCCTTATCATGCGTATATACTGTAAACATTATAATTCGAATGGAAATAGGCACAATAAGGCTTATTATATAAATATAAATAATACTATCTATTCATTCGCACGCAAACTTATTAAATGCCATAGCTATGTAAGCTTCAATTATACATTAGACGAAAGTCGAAATCTCCTACGAAACTCTAAGTCTTTCTGCGAAAACCGGAAAGCTGAAACCTCATTAAGACAAAACTTATAAAAATCAAAGCCCCTATTAAGAGTAGGCCTCTGATAAAGCCTTAAAAGCTGTACTATATAGTTAAGGTTTAGAGGTGTCTAATCGCATAAAATAGTTCTACATTTAGGCTGAAATATATTGATATGGGACAAATTATATTAATGCAGGCTGGGCTAAATGACTAAATGGCTAAATAATTAGAAAAATTTTAAGTGAGTCCATTCCCTATAATTGGATGCAAATTCTTTTTTTTTTTTTTGAATAATCTTGATTAATATAAATAAAAACCATGGGCCAAAAAATTTTTATTTATTTTAATTGATTTCTTGAAGAATTAGATTAATAGGGATATAATTTTTATAAAATTACAAAATCAAAATTTTTGTCCCGTTGCCCCTTTTGCTGTGGGGGTCCCAAAATAATAAAAGTGGATTAATGAATAAAAAAAAATATACTTATGCATCTATAGACTGGTTCAGGTTTTTTTTTGACTCAAAATGACCGGCCTAAAACCATAAAGGGAGTTTGAGAACAATCTTACTCTATAATCATCTCTCCAATAAACCAATTTTTTGATACTCAAAGATTTTTTACCTGTATTTTAGAAAAAAGAATTGCAAATTATATAATGTAGAAAGTTGAAAAAAAAAACTAGGAGAGAGCGGATAAAAGTGTGTTAAATAATCTTAAAACAAAAATTAAGTGCTTTAGGGTGCTCTTAAGTATTTCTATCAATGGTTTACGATCATCTAAAAATTGATCAATTAATATTAAGTCATTATTTATTTTTCCAGAGTTGCGGTTAAATTTAAATTCACTTCAGAATTTGCTTAGATCATTCTAATTAATTTCTCTAGCTGAGCAACATTTTAATCACTAACAAACTACATTAATAAAGTTGCTTGAGAACACTTTAAATCCATTATGCAATGAAAATGTTCACAAACATTACCTTACAATTTGATTTAGATAGTTTAATTAAAGATGGTATAAAATCTGATAAAAAAAAAAAGAAGATAATGTCCAAAGATAGCCCTATATATTTAAATCAGGTAACTTATAACATTTTTTATTACTACTCTAATGCATGTGTCAGTTTTTTTTAGGTTCACGAACTATAGTACTACGTACGTGCTTGTAACGGTTGGTTTGGTACTGCTACTTGAAGTTATGTAGGTTCTAATGGAATAGTAATTCTATTGAACTTAATGAACGAAAATCATTATGATTTTTGCTACTGTATATTTGATATGGAAACTCTTAGGACACTTCTTATTTTATTAACTGGGACAACCGGGACTTTATATATTTTGGAAATACTGTATATAAGATATGAGCTTCGAGATTACATTTGCCTTCCACAACGCACAAATGCAAAAATTTGATATATGAAATTGCCATCCAATTAGATGTACGGATTTACTCCATCCATGGTACGTATAGTCTTTGTGGAAAAGCTGCGTGTAAATAAGCTATATATAAAAATTATGTTTTTTGGCCCCTTTTATCTTATTAAAAAAGTCTGTTACATCTCACACAACGTTACTTATGGGTCCATAAACAAAACAAAGTGGGCAGAGTATAACCCAACATAATGGAATAAATATTGCAGCAACTAAAGATAATACTGCAAGAATTTGTGTTAAAACATTACTATTAATAAATTCAAAAATCGCAAATGAATAGAAGGCTAACATAAAAAAGGCTCTAACAGCAATATTAACAATAACTATAGGTGTAATAGATGTTCTTTTATCTTCAAGAAAATGTAAAGTTATAAAAACAATAGCAGAAGATAAAGCTATAAAAATTTTTACTAAGGCACTACATCAGCAAGTTGATTTTTTATAGAATCTATTTAGATCTACAAATTTACATAAATGTTAAATAAAATAATAAATAAATGTTATATACAATAATTCTTATATAATATTTTATATAACTTTTATATAAATTTTATTTATACTTATATAAATATAATTTGTATATAAAACAATTATATAACTTTTATATATTTCAAAATTTAAGTAAACTTTTTATATAAATTTTAAATAAGCATAAAATTTATATAAAAACTATATATATAAATTTTATATAAAATAATTTTATATAATATTTTACATAATGCTTATATAAACTTTATTTATATTTATATAAATATAATTCGTATAAAAAAAAATTATATAGCTTTTATATATTTTAAAATTTAAATAGACTTGATAGATAAATTTTACATAATAATTACTTAAATTTATAAATATATAGAACTGCGTATAAATTTAAAATTTAAATAGACTTGTTATATAAATTTTACATAATAATTACTTAAATTTATAAATACGTATAAATATTAATCTAATTAGAAATAAAAATATTGACATAGTATGAATTAATCGTGTCAAATTGTGGCACGATATGGACAGTATTGTTAATTGATTGTATCCCGGAATTAAATTATAAACATCTGTAGTTTGTAAATAGGGGCATTCGTATTTATAAAATTTTGAAGGTGCATTCGGAAATTTAAAGTCGTACCAACGAATAAGTGCAAGATCGAACATCGTAATATTTTTTAACACTATACGAACCAACAATAAAACCTAGAATCGTATTTAAAGTCATAAAATTATAAAGTTTAATTAATAAATGCATATTAAAAAAATAAAAAAATAAATTTATGTACTTTTGCAAAACAATATCCGCCACATGTTTCGACTTCCTGCTCAGAATCCATATAAACGGCAATGTCACTAAACATTGGCATATTGTAATAATTGTTGGTAGCCCTTACTTGCTCTTTATTAGGTAACTTAAATGATTCAAATAAAATCAGAGTTATTTCTGATTCACTTATATCATTTTTAAATAAAAGGTTGAGATAATCATTCAGAGCAGGAACAAAGTGTTGTAAGCCTTCAAGAATTTCGGAACTACATTTTTTATCGTGCTCATATAATTCGGTAATTGTCTTTAGAAGGTGTAACGGTATGGTACAGTATTGTTTACCAAACTTTCCCGTATTAATTTTAGGTTGATCATTTTGTAGAATGTGTTCATAAATTTCTTTAAGTGTAAGTGTTCGTGTTACCTAAAACGATAAGTATCAAATTAGTAAATTGATGCAATACGTGCCAATATCAAAAAAACTATACATATAAGCCAATCGACATATTTTGGGCCCTGAATAGAGTCACTAAATTAGTTAAAATAGTGTTCAAACCCCTTATTTAATTTTTTTTGATTGGTTTAGCGAGTTATTAGGGTGATTGTTTTGATTTATTGAGGGTTTATTCTGCACTATTATGCAACAAGGATCGAAATACCCATTAGATTATCGTCTAATTATTAGCCTGGAGCCACTAAGACATGTTGTTTGACTTTGTTATTGTTATGAAAAAATGTTCAAAATAAACCTTCTGCCTCAGTCTTTCAGACAATTGTATTGTCAAATAAACTGTCCCACTACGTGTATCAAAATTTTCGAGGTTCTCTCTTCTGCATAGTGATACGTATTGGCCCATATGATTTAAAAATACCTTCTGTAAAATCTGCGAATCAATATTTCGCTTGTTTGATTTTCTATAAGGAGATTTAATATATTGTTTATGAAGTGCCTCATATGTATCGGCACTTAATCCATTTAGATTCCCATATTCTTCAATTGCCTCAACGGTATGGTGTATCCAATGATGAAACTTTAAAAACCGACAGTCATTTTTCGTAAATGAGCCAAGAATCTCAACAAAGCTTTTTGCCCACGTTTGAATTGATCTCTATAATGTACCGAATAATAATATCCAAACCATTTGAGATAACATAACTATATAATATAGTTGTTATCTCAAATAATATGGATAACATTTCCAAAGATGGTAAGTTATCGTTAAAATACTGTGACGGTATGGTAATATGTACTAATCTATCTACACTAACCTCAAAATGGAAAATGTCAATTTGTGTAAATTTAAATTGCTTCGATTGATAATATATTTTGTTCCAGTTAATAAACATTTGAACAAGTGATTATTTTTTTTTTTTATCTTCAAAAAGGCCCTCAAGGATGAAAGGCATGACTTTCATCATGTGCTTGTACTCGGATGCTGTAAATAAAGCAAGGTCCGCAAGCCCAACATTGAAGATTTTTAGTCCTGGATATCGTGGTATTAGTCCAAACCGTAGGTCCATTTTATTAACAAGGGCGGCTCCGCCGTAAGATTTTAAGAAGTCCCTTGTGTATTTAACCACATAAGAATAGGCCAAGATCCAAGTGATGCATTCGTTCAGGAACAGTTGCCGTGTAAATGTTTAAGTTTCTATAAACGATATATTTATCATATTTTTATTCATACTAGAAGTTTTAACAACCAAAAGTATTATATTTATTTACAAATGGTTCCAGAAGCTATTAGTTTCTTCATGTATTGAATAATCTTTGCCTTGACCCATCGCAATAACCTGTTTCATTTGGCTTTCTGTTCGGATGATTTTGCGATTAGAAGGTAAATTAATGGTATTTAACTTATCCTTTTCGACGAGACAGGTATGACAAGGGCGTGTACAGCTTGATCCATTGTAAGTTAAACAGTATTTACAATTCTCAGGCCAGTCACCAATGACGCAAGATAACATCATATTACATCTTAAATTGCAATTGTTAACTTTTAACAATGATACTGTAAATGTAATGGTTCAAATAGTACATTCATGCATTTGTGAAAAGTTGTTTGAATCAATTGTCTAAATTGTGGAGTTTGCCTTTCCTCTTTTGTACCTTGTAATGTTGGTATAATACCAACAAGTGCCTTAGCTTCGGGTTTATTACGAAATCTGGTTGGAATGTTGCCCAAGCTAATAAAAACTGGATGGCATGAAATCTTTTCTAAACGATCTAACATAGTCGCATCTGAATATAAAATTATAGGTAAAACTTTATTTTCAGATGGGATACATTGTTGCGCACGATCCCACCAATTACAATTATAAAATTCAGAGTATACTCTTTCTCGCTTTCCCTAAGAAATAAATAATAATAAATAACATTTAATTAAATTATATAAATTTAACTATAACCCAATTCAAACCAATAAGACTTATATTGTGCAAATCAAGATATAATTTGTAAACTAGAATAGCTGAACATTAGAATTTTTACTTGCCTCAATTGATGAATAAATTTCTTCATAATCAAAAACACAATTCGTTGCAATTTCTTGATTTTGAAGAATTTCCTTAACTGCTGAAATTATTGGTTGATACTCAAATGAGTAGACCTGACCCTTGATTTGTACAATGGGGGTCGAAAAAACTTGGTATAACTTTTCTTCAGAGTATCCAGAAAAAAGAGACCGTCTTTTGTTGATCGAGGTAATGCATCGTTTAGAATTTGACTATATGTTTTTATAAAATTCAATATTGCATCACCAGCCGCGTAAGAGAGCTGGTATTTAATTATCTAATAATATTATAAATACCAATATGTTTATTTCAAATTTTAGATAAAAACATAATTTTTCTTAAATGTATATTGCGTTTTTTATATTATTCCTACAATATATAAGTTAATTATATAAGAAGTTCATTGTAATATATGACATAATACCTACTATTTCTATGAAATCGCGATATGCAGTACTTGGAAATTCTGCATTATTCATTGTATCAAAGTCACTACATTCGCTATCATCACTCAAATATTCATTATTAGTCTTGTAATTTTCTAACACACACTCATCAGCTATAAGATCTAAAGTTGAATTAAATTCATTGAATGTTGAACTCGATTCTTCAAAGGGTGAATTAGATTCCTCAGATGTTGAACTAATTTCTTCGGATGTTGAACTAATTTCTTCAGATGTTGAGCTAGATTCCTCAGACATTAAATTAGTTTCATCAAATGTTGAACTATATTCTTCAAGTGTTGGATTGGATATATCTACTAATGGATTATGTTCATTATCTACGATAGCTTGGTTATTGAACATTACTACTTCCGATTCATCTGATTCATCAGAACTATGAATCTCTGTATTCTCGTCTGTACAATCGTCAGAACTATCCTCAACCTGATAATAGTTTTTGTGGATTTTTTTATGATTTATAAGACACGTTAGACGGCCAAATATTTCATTACACACACTACAAATGAACATTAGAAACGACTAATAAAATAAATAAATAAAAATTAAAATCATAAAAATCAAATTATAATTGATTGAATCTTATTTTTTTAATAGGTAACATCTTATTACAACAAGCATTGAGAGTTGCACGCTTATGAAGGTTTTCTTTTTTTACCTTTTGTTTTAGTTTTTTTTTTGTTTACTATGGGCAATTATTTAAGATACTTATTAAAAAGATTTTTCGCTTTTGTAATATTTTTAACTTCATGAACTACGTTATCGATTGCATCATTATTAATTAATTAATTAATGAATATCGATTGCATCATTATTAATTAATTAATTAATTAATTAATTAATAATCATTGTTCTCTTATTTGAATCAACAATAAAAATAGAATATTCTAGTTTATTACATATAAAAGCCCATAACAATAAATTAAGTAATAGAATATTCTAACCTGTTAATTTGTTGATTTAATAATACAAATAAATATTCTAGTAGGCTACAGAATTGGATCAATCAAATTTATATTACACAAAGAAGTCAAAATTTATTCATATAAATACCTTCAAGGCAAATTTCTAACATTGTTTTCTTTTTTTTTTTTTACTTTTTTCGATACACGAAACATCTAAAACTTTCATTAAGTTTAATTTTTTAATATTCATTAATAGTTTCTTTAATTTATTATATATACCAATTATTATTCAAAGAGTAGATCGAAGTCTTATGATTTGTTTATTGTATCCTTGCTAAGCCACCAAGCGATTCAAGCATTACTGGAAAAGCATTAGAGGTTTTATGTTTTTATAATAATTAAAAAGTGCAATACTTTACAATTGTTCTCTTTACTTCAATCTGGTCATGTGATTGCGACAAAATGATGAAATGATGAAATAACCTGAATATATTAGTAATCACATTTTTTTTATATATTGCGTAATACATATTTCGCATCTAATATTAATTGAATTCCTTATATATCTTAATTAACAGTAACCATAATTTTTTAAAACCTTTTCTTACATTATGTCTCCTAAAGTCGAAAACGAGGGCTTGGATCAGAAGAAAACGAAATTAATTCGGTAGCTGATAAATTTTATATTTTATATATTGGTTAATGTTAAGATATTATTTTTTCTTCTTTTAGGCATTGGACGCACTAAAATATGGTTCATCGGCTCCTACGAAAAAAAAACAAAATACAAAAAATTCTAATATTCAACCCTTAAGGAATGTTGACAATTCACTGCCTGCAAACGAAACTAACATTGATAATAATAATGTTATTGATGCCGATAATATTCAAGAAGATGAGGTTGAAAGCCCACCTAGATCTCCACTTAATGAAATTTCTATTAATTCAATAGAAAAATCATCTGCCAGTGCAAAGCATGGTTCGTTTTAAGTTTTATTACCTTTCATATTATAAATATAAGCACTTACTATTGAATTGAATTAGACTTAATTGAAGAAAGCGAATCAGTCAATTGTTTACTAGAAATGACCAAAAAAGTATTGGAGCAAAATACTTCGATTATGGAAAAACAGGGAGCATTAGAGGTTATGCTTACTCAGCTTGCCGATAAAGTCAAAACTTTACAATCTTCGCATGAAAATCTGAAATCAAAGGCAAAAGATAATGATAATGAATGGTGGCAGGTTATTTATCATTTTTCAAACTTGACCAAAACGATGCCAAGACGTATAAATGATTTTCTATTCACATGTGATCGAACCATCGACTATTTTATAAAAAGTTAAAGTAAGCTTTATTTAAAAAATCAAAATTAATGAACTACGATTGATTTTAATTTTTTTTTATATAATTTTCTCATTTTTCTTCTAATTTTAACCAAGACCTGAACTATATGTGAATAGAAAATCGATTTTACACATCAATTTCCAATATTTGAATAATAATTTTAAAAAAGCAATTATCGAATTTATCAGAATTCTAATGAACTGTGTTGACAATAAACGACGATCAACTATATTTTCTGCGAAACTATCGTACAATAATGAGCTAATGTGATGGCATTAGCTTAATAATCTTGGACAATATCAACATAGTAAATTAGAATTCTGACAATTTTACTATATAATTATTAAAAAATTTTTCAATTTTAAATTATAGAAAGGAGCAACGCAAGGGATCAAGTTCGCTGTGGATAATTGGCTTTATCCCAACGATAAAGTTTACGAAAAATCTATCAGAAAAGAGCTTGACGATCTTTGTCCAGACAAGATGGAACGATACAAAAAAGCTTCCAAATGGGATGCTTTGTTTTGTAAAATTGAAAATTTGGTAAGTAATATAATTTTTAGCATTTAATTTTATAATTATATATATATATTTAAATTTTGAATATAGATTAGTGCGGAATCTTGCAAGTATCGTGGGGCATTATTTGGGTCTTTCCGCCGCTCTATATTTGATTATGTTTTTAAGAAAAAAATTTCGCCGACTGTTAACTCTGAAAGTTCTGAAGCTGAAATATCTTCTTGGAAATCAAGCGAAGAAGTGCAATGGTGTCTTGAAAATCTGGACACGATGATCGAAGAAGATGACAAGATGTATCTTCAAATGGTTGCCAAACGTGTATTCGGAAGACAACCCACGAAAAATCAGTATGCTGTAACACGTGCAATCTTGCATAATCTGCTCAACCCTGAAATTACCAAAGTTAAGTTTGATGAAAAATACTTAACCCGAAAGTTGCAATCTTTTTTGGTAATGTATAAACTTTCTTTAATATATTGCGCATGGCGTTTTAAATATAATGTTATGCTAATATGTGCAAAACTATTATTAATTTACTTTAATTATATAACATATAATAGTGTGATATTAGTGATGGTGAAGATGAATATTCGAACGCATCTGATAGTGAATAAGTACTATATAGTTAAAGTATCTACTTATTTTTATTTGCTTTATTAAAAATTATGTAGTATTTTATATAAATTTGCATAGGATTATGTTTATTTGCTTTTATGAAAATTCAATTTATAACTTACTTAGAACTTTTATATTAAATAAATAAATTTTATATAAATTTAAGTTTACAAATTTTTTATTTATATAATAAATAAATTTTATATATTTGCATTATAAGTGCGTATATAAATTTTATCTAAATTTTTAATTCTATAAATTTTATATATAAATTAATTAAAAGTCATATAATATATATATATAATTTATTAATATTCGAATTTTATTAATTTTATATAAAAAAGTTTAATAAAATTAATTAAATATTATATAAATATTATATTAATTCTATATAAAATATATATATAAGTTATTTATAATTTAAAATACATAAATTTATATAAATCTTAAATAACTATTATTTAAATTTTATTTAATTCTACATATTTATATATTTATATAAAAATTATATTTATGTAAGTCTACATTGGGTTTATAAGTTTACATAAAACTGTTAAATATAATTTAAACAATTATTTTACATAGCTCTACATAAAAATAACTTCGTGATGTAATTCTAATAAATACAAATAATAAAGTTACCAGAGTGGATAATATTACATACAAGATCAAACAAATATGACCGTACTCTTTTATAAATCCAAATACCTTTTTAAACATTATTCTAAATGAGAATTTCTTGTAAATAATTTGAAATACTTCATATTCTTCTATTTCAAAAGTATTTTTGTCAATAATTCCTATTTCATAAGAGTGTTGTTTACTTTTACCAACATCAGAATTTTGTGAAGCATTATATTCTATCCACAAATCTTGAAAACCAAAACATGGTCCTTTGCTCATACACCAAACAATTGCTTCTTTTTTAGAAACAACACGGCTTAATCTGGGAATTGCTCCAGTAGATAAAGAATATAGTGAAAATATAAAACTTTTTGAAGTTGTTGCAAATCTATAATTATTATATGTATAACTATTATTATCCATTAAATTAATTTCATACCAATCTAATGGATTATATCCACCAATTATTTCCTCTGAATTTCGAACTTTAATTATAACAACGGTTGGCCCTTTATTATCACATTTCTCATGAAACTTATTGATGTTAAAATTTTCAAGACTTACACGATAAATTAGTTCAAAATAGCATAGCGAACTTTTATTGTGATTGGCTAAATTTTGTAGATCATCTTGTTATACTAAAGTATTATTAAAGTAACGATTTTCCGTCAC